GTACATCCTGCAGAATTCTGTAGATGGGTTCATGACCAGGAAAACCTAATCTGTGGTGATAATGTAATAATGGTCATGTTTGTGCAGGTCTAAGTGGAAGTGAGGCAAATATGTGCTGAGAAGTTACTGGGCATGTTCTCTCTGCACACCAGGGGTTGCACGTGAAACACAAATAAGTAGACTTCAAACTACTTTTATGGTTTGTCCATTTAATCTCATTGAATTACACATGTATGAAAAAGAGGGAAAACTATCAATGTAATAAATTAATACTATTGCATCCCCTCTCCCCAGTGAAAAATGGAACATGGCAATTTAGTGTGCCATGTATGAACCCATGAGATTGCAAATTCTGTCCTTCACCTCAGAGAACACCCTCCAGAATTTTGCTTTACTCCTGAATGAATGGAATAATGCTTTATGCATGCTTTATTGTATTACCTGGATATTTTACTGTTATTTTTAAAGATTTTGGGGATGAATGTATGCCTGTCTTCTCATCCTTTAATCATACACATTAAATGGTGTTCCTTTTAATGGAATTCATTAAGCATTTCATGAGAATACGTAGGGATGTCATTTTTGGTACACTGTAAAGCAAACCTTCAGGTTGAATATTCTATAATCACTTTATATTTTTTAATATTACATTTGAGAGAGACAGTGCAAATGGAGAAGGGGCAGAGAGAATCCCAAGCAGGCTCTTGTGCTGTTGGTGCAGAGCCCAATGTGGGGCTTGGTCTCCCGAAACATGAGATCATGACCTGAGCCAAAACCAGGAGGTGGATGCTTAGCTGACTGAGCCACCCAGGTGCCCCATGTTCTGTAATTTTTTTTAACATTTATTTATTATTGAGAAAGAGAGAGAGACAGAGCATGAGCATGAGAGAGATAGAGAGAGGGGAAGACACAGAATCCGAAGCAGGCTCCAGGCTCTGAGCCGTCAGTACAGAGACTAAGCCAGGGCTCGAACCCACAAGCAGTGAGATCATGACCTGAGCTGAAGTCGGACGCTCAACCGACTGAGCCACCCAGGCGCCCACCAGTAATAATTTTAAAACAAAAGTATGCTTTGAATAGTAGATGTTGAGCATTTTAAAGAACCATATAGATCCCTTCCATGTGATAAGAAAACTTAAGTGCAGAGAAGTCCAATGACTAACCCAAGCTCCCATATATTTCTCCTAATGTGTCTGAATACTGTTCATCAGACTCTTACAAAAGTTCTGTCTAGTTGGCATTGGGGATGTCCTTATTTTCAAAAAATATAGTTCTATTTTTATTATCTTTGCACTCTTTAGGCATGGGTTATTTAGTATTTTGGAACTTAACTTTCCAAGCACATGTTTAAATTTTTTCAGATATTTTCTTTTCTTTTCTTTTCTTTTTTTTATTTATTTCTAGGAGAGAGGGAGAGAGAGAGAGAGCATGAGCAGGGGAGGGTCAGAGAGAGAGAGGGAAACGCAGACTCTGAAACAGGCTCCAGGCTCTGAGCTGGCAGTCAGCACAGAGCCCGACGCGGGGCTCGAACCCACGAACCGCGAGATCATGACCTAAGCGAAAGTCGGACGCCCAACCGACTAAGCCACCCAGGCGCCCCATAAATTTTTTCAGATATTTTCTACCCTGATTGCATTCTTTATTTCATTCTATGCAAGTTAAAGAGATTTTTTTTTTTTATGATTCTATATAGTCAGTTGGTTTTTCTTCTAATTTGCAATAGAGTGTGCCAAGTGGGGAAGAGGGAGAGGGAGAGAATCTCCAGGAGGCTCCACACCCAGTTTGGGCCCCACATGGGGCTCGATCTCATGACTGTGAGATCATGACCTGAGCCTAAATCAAGAGTTTGGATACTTAACCAACTGAGCCACCCAGGGGCCCCTGTATCATCAGTTTTATACACACTCGCTTTGTGCTAAAAAGCAAACATCCTGTAGTCTGTGTTTTCAGCTCTTTATATATCCATCAGGTCACATTTGTCCATCTTGGTGTGTGAATCTAATGGAAACTTACCAGTTCTGTGGCCTTTTAAAACTCAGTTACTGAGATAACATAGGAAAGTATCCCAGATTTAACTCTTTATTCTTACAGTATAACTGCTGTTTTACATAGTTTGAAATGATGTTAAGAATTGTATACAAATTTTAGGGGTGCTTGGGTGGCTCAGTTGGTTAAGTGTCTGGCTCTTGGTTTTGGCTCATGTCATAATCTGACAGTTGATGAGTTCAAGCCCCACATCAGGCTCCATTTTGAAAGTGCAGAACCTGCTTGGGAGTCTCTTCCCCCCCCCTCCCCCCCAATCAACCCGGCTCTGCCCCTCCCCCACTCACACTCTCTCAAAAATAAATAAACTTAATAAGAAAAACTTTTTAAAATTTAAAATATGGTTTCCAGTTGGTGTTTTCTTCCTTATATCTATTTTTCAGATACAAACACATTTTTGTATGTTTTTAACTTAGTAATTATAAGGTATACATTTCCCAAACTTTTATTTCATCTATTGCTATAACATCCTATCTTACAAGTATGACTTATAAACTGAATATTGTGGGATACTTTTCAACCCACCAAAAATTACTAATTCAAACATTTATTCCATACTCATTTCATGTGATAGCTGGTATATCTGGGTTCAAATGCATCTTCCTACTTTGTGTTTCTCTTTGCTTCAGTTCTGTTTCTTATACTTTCCTTTAAATATTTGTATAGATGATTTGCATTCTAAACTTTGCTCTTAGCTGGGAATGTATCTGCTCCTATTTTATTCATCTTTAAGCTAACAATTATAAAACATGTCTCTAACAACAGAATATAGCATTAACACATTTACCGTTCTCTTGAACAATATAAAGGATATTTTTGAGGATTGTATTGTAATTCTATCATTTTACTCAAAAAGGAGATACTGTTCATGTGTTATACAGTTAGTGACTAATTCTCTTCATTCACAAATGCATCTTTCTCTCGGATCTTCATTCCTTCTATCAGTGCAGACATTACGCCTGGGATCACTTTCCTTTGATCAAACTTTAATGTTTCTTTTTTTATTTTTTAGAGTTTGTTTATTTTGAGACAGCAAGTGTGCAGGGAAGGGGCAGAGGGAGGAGGAGGATCTGAAGCAGGCTCTGCACTGTCAGTGAGAGCCAGATGCAGGGCTCGAACTCAAGAACTGTGAGATCATTCTTGGTTCGGATTCTCTCTCCCCTGCCACCCTCTCTCTGCCCTTCCCCCACTTGAATAAACTTTAACCACTTTAACCAAAAAAACAAAACAAAACAAAACTGTGAGATCATGACTTGAGCCAAAACCAAGAGTTGGACACTTAACCAACTGGGCCACCCAGGTGACCCCCTTTGATCATCAGTTTTCTATTACATTTTTCATTTTAGGCCTCATATAGTATTATTTCGTGTTCTTTCTTCAAAAACACTTTTGGGGGTATAAAAATCTATGTGGATGATTATGTTTTTGGCACCTTCACTGTGTCTTTCCATGTGTTCCTGACCCACCATATACTGGATGTGAGTGGAAGCAATTTACGTTGTGTTGACAGTTTCCTGGTGTTAAGGAACAGTACTTGAAACTGATGCAAAGAACAACACACTGTAGGACTGTATCAGTGAGATGTATTTACCGCAGTATTTAGATGGGGTTTGAGTTGTTGGGTTAATAAAAAGAGTGACAGTATAGAATGCATAGGAGCAACGATACAATATGTATCTGGTGACCAAATTGATGGATTGTGACATAAGGTGACTGGAGGCTTACTAATCCCGTTTTCTCTGCCTGGTCACCTGGGAGGTGTCTCGGCTTTCCTTACTCTTATGTTGGGACCATGAGCTGTGGCCAACTGAATATAGACAGAAGCAACTGTGAAATCGTTATCACATGTGCACACAATTCTGGGGATATCCTCAGGGGTCCTAGATTTCACACCTCCCTAGGAAGTAGTGCTCCTTTGGGGACTGCAAGTTCAGGTGATGGGCTGATGGTGAGGGTGTTTTAATAAGGACAGGGCATGATGACCTGAAGCCTCTGAGCTTCATAATCACTTATTTGTACCTGGGCCTACTTGCCCTGAGCGTCAGAAGGGCACAAAAGGAGGAACGGATGGAGATCCTGGTTACTGTGAACCAGATGAAGGTCATGCCACAAACTTGAGGCCACGTCAACTCCGCTCTCCATTAAGGCCTGACAGCAGTTAGTCATAATGTTCCCTAGATCTGAATCGTGAGACCTGTGATAATGCACGTCTTGGGCAACGAGCCTCCCTGTAGTATACGAAACCCTCCTGCTGCGTTCTTTAAGAAATAACGGAATACGCCAAATAGTTCAAATCTGTGCTTTTATGTACAATTTCTCATCAAGACCCGTGAGGCTGCTTTGCGAGTCAAGGCGTCCTTGTATTTTCTGCTTCCATGAGCAATGCCGAGGATCCTGCGCAGAGGCGACCCCGACTGCGCCTCCCTCTGCAGCGTATTAATGTTAACAACAGTGACAATACTAGGTACTTACCGCGCACTAACCGCGTGACAGGCACTTCAAGTCCCGAGAGACTTAGTGCCCAGTCTAGTCACGGTGGACCTGTGGTTCTCAAACCTGGTCTCTGCGGCAGGATCCTTAAGACAGCGCTGAGCCCCGTTCGCAGAGTTTCTGACACATCGGGTCGCGGCGGCCACAGAGAGGTCCCCCCGGTCCCGCGACGCCAGTTCCCGGGGACCAGGCTTCGCCCCTCGCCCGCAAAAATTGGGGCGCTTTTCTTTACCGGGAAAACTTGGATTCCATTCCCGAGTCGGTCCCGCAGACCGTGTTAGTCGCCGTAGAGACAGGAAGTGGCGTACGCGCCTTGAGTCAGGCGCGTGCAAACTACATTACCCAGAAGCCGGTGCTGCGCGCTTCCGCCCCGGGGGAGGGGTCGCAGGCATCCGGGCGGGACGTTTCCTGCTGGTGGGGCGGGACTTCCGGCCGCGCCGCAGGAGCGCATCCCTCAGTGAGCGGCGGCTGGTCGGGCCACGACCACGTGGACTGCGGCGCACGCCGGGCCGCTTGGGGCAGCGCCGGGCGGCCGAGTGACGTGACGGCGACCGCCTCTGCTCCCTGTGCTGGCCGTGACGCCCGGGCGTCAGCTCCATCTCCCCTAGACTGTGCCCGGCTGTGGGACGGGCGCCGCCGGGACTGTGACTTCTCCCGACCCCGCACTCCATAGCCTTGGTCCCCGAAGGCGGCGGCCGGGGCCTTTCGATCATCTTACACCGTCGTCTAGCGAGGCTCGTAGTGCGACACGCAGCCGCAGGCGACCCCGCCCAGGCTGAGACCTCGGGACCCGCCCTGGTCACCCCCATCTCAGGGCCCCGCTCGGCCCACCCGGTACCCCGGTGGTGGCAGGGGCGGCAGCACGGATGAATACGGCGCAGGTGAGTGGAGGATCACCCTCCTGGTCACCGCTTCTCCTTACGGCCGATGGTGGCGGTGGGACTCTGCCTTATATCCCCCGGTTCTCAGTCGTGGAGTCCCTGGAGGAGGCCCCTTCTGGCCTAGGATCCTGAGCCCAGGGCGGGTGTGTTCCGGTTTCGGGGGGCCACGGTAATAACACTGGAAAGGCCACCGAGTCATGGGGACAGGCGTGAGGGAATGGGGAACTTGGACATGAGGTTGAGTTGGGAGTGAACAGGGCCTCCATTGCGTCTTTTGGGAGCAGAGAGCAGCGGGGCGGCAGTCCTGGAGTCTGGGCCTCTCTGCTGAAAGTTTGGAGCTGAGGAGAGGGGGCTTGACCCCAGACTTGACTCAGCAGGCTTCCCCTGTGCAGAGTGGAGACTGGAAGCGAGGGAAGAACACGAACTGAGAGCTTTAAGGCCCTAGTAGTGGAGGCTTTTGGAGGAAGGCTGAGCCCAAGTTTGGTTGTATCTGCGAGGCATGGTCTGGAGGACGCTGGGAGAACTGACCAGGGGAGTTTGGTACCCTTCGTGCAGAACCCATAGCTTACCCAGTACCCTCCTGCCTGATTTTGCTCTGCACACAGTGCTCAGAGGGTCATGAGGAGAGGTGGCACTAGTGGTGCCAAGGCCCGGTATCTCCTCTGAGTTGGGAGCTGGGAGGAGAGGGAGCGGGGGTGGTCGTGTGAGTGGATAGACTGGGGAGTCCTCTTGCCTGTGGGCTCACCTGTCCCCCATCACGACAGGGCTGTGTGACCTTCGAGGATGTGTTCGTGTACTTCTCCCGGGAGGAGTGGGAGCTCCTTGAGGAGGCTCAGAGGCTCCTGTACCGTGATGTGATGCTGGAGAACTTTGCGCTTGTGTCCTCACTGGGTAAGTCCCTGCGGTGGTTATCTGTTGCTACGTAGCAAATTACCCCAGAGCTTAGTGGGATGGCAACAAACATTATCTCACGATTTCTGTGAGTCAGAAATCAATCATATCTCACGTGGGTACCTCTAGCTCAGGGTCTTTCATAACCCTGCTGTCAAACTCTCCGGGGCTGCTGTCTCATCTGAAGGCTCAACTGGAAGTGAACTTCCTTTCAAGGTCACGCACACTAGCAGGAGGCTTTTGGACTAATTAGTCACTTTCTTGCTGACTTATGTGTCCAGCCCTCCCTCAGTCTCTTGCCATGTTGGCTTCTCCGTAAGCAGATCACTACAAGGCAGCTGATTGCCATGGGCATGAGCAAGAGACAGCCTCCAGTATAGAGGCTGGTGTTTTTGTAGCTTATTCTCGGAAGTGACATCCTATCAGTTGTCCATAATCTGTTCATTAAAGAGGAATTTTTAGGTTCAGCCCGTACTTGGCTGGAAGGACTTAACAGGGACATGGATACCTGGGGGTAGGTATGATTCCCAATTTCCTGGGCTGAGTTTTGTTCTTCGCTTTTTCCCCAGAGGGCAGTTTTCTGCCTGACAGTACTGTGATGGCATGACCCCTTTCCTTGGCTCCCTGGACTAGGTGGTGTGGGTACCAGGGGTGGGTGGTGAACACTGGCTCCTCTTTTTTTAGAGCAGCCCCATCCTCCTCCATGCCAAAGCTTTGAAATGAAGGATTTGAGGATCAGGAGTCTTGCATTCTGCCCAACAAATCCCAGATGGCCTGGCCACACCTTGGCTGGGTGATTATCCAAATCCCTGATCTCTTTGCCCAGAGTCTGCCCCTTCCTTTAATTGACATTTCCTGGGGCCTGACTCTTCCAGGAATCACAGACACTGATGTAGTCACTCCTTGTGAAGAACAGTGAGCTGTTCCTGTGAGACCCTCTCGAAGATTCTTACTTAATTTTCTTCTTTCTGGAGAGGGTCGCCATGGGGTACTGCCAGCCACTTACCAGCTCTTCTTTCCCCATAGGACTTGCAGTTTCCAGGTCCCATGTTGTTTCCCAGATGCAGCCGGAAGGGAGCCCCGGGTGCCTGAGACGGTAGACACAGCTACAGCTAGAGCAAAGAAGACTCGAAGGAGGCCTGGTCTTGGTGAGTAGAAGGCACAGGAATGGTCACATCAGGGGTGGCTTCGCCTTCTACCGGCAACCTTTGCGGTATCTCCTAGCGTTCTGATGCCAGAACCATCGGCTGACTTCATCCCACTTTTCCTTCCCCATTTGTGACGTTTTGCCCACTGGTCACTTTTTTTTTCCTTAAATAGTTTATTGTCAAGCTGGTTTCCATATAACACCCAATGCTCATCCCAGCAAGAACTTGTCACTTCTACTCTGACCTCAGTCATCAGTTGGTCCCCCACCCTTCCTGTCTCCACATTTTCCCCCTCTTGGTGCTCCATGTAGTGCTCCATGAAAGCGGCATTGGCTTTCATTTAACAGGTCATGAGTTGTGCTCGTATCCTTCAGTTTTCCTCGAAAACCAAGTATTCCGTTCCAGCCACATTTTTTTTGGCTCAGGACAGACCCTTTCGCACAGCATTCACTGTCACGAGGAACAAGGTTTTGCCGGGTGACCATTGGCGGGGGAGTGATTTGGAGCCCCTGTCTCTCTTTATCCTGTGCTCTCTCCTTGTCCCCTCTCCCTGTGCGGTCTCCGTCATTCTCTGACCTTTAGAGACCCGCAGCGCATAGCTTCCCTTCCTCACCCAGATTCTGGCTCCCCTGTTGTGCCAGCGACCCCATGGACTACTTCCTGGTTGCGTGGTTGCGTTAGAGACACATTTGTCGTGGGGGTGCCACGGGCCACCAACTAAACCAGCGTGTCACCAGCGTTTATCTTCCGTCAGGTCGTCGGCATGCAGTGAAGGATGAGGCTGCACCTCTGACCCTCCCCGTCAGTGGCTGTCCCAGATGAGAACTCCCCAGGCAGGCCCTTCCTCCCGAAAGGCTCACCCCTGTGACATGTGTGGCCCGGTCTTGAGAGACATCTTTGCACCTGGCTGAGCCACAGGGAAGACCATCCAGGCAACACACCAAGACCAACATGTGAGTCACTGTGGGAGAGACTCCTGGGTAGTATAAACCTTGACCAGATGCAGAAGCAGCAGAGTGGAGAAAATTTCTTCAGAAAGTAAGGAGCCAGGCCTGCCTGATTTGTGAAGCTCAGCAGACGCCATGTGTCAGAGAAGGCCTTTACCTGCGGGGAGGGTGGGAGGAACTCCGTGGCCAGCTGTGGACTTGTCCAGCGCCAAGCCCCTTGCGGTGGAGAAAAACCACATCGGGGCCTTGAGGGTACGGGGCCTTTTGTGTATCAGATTTACTTTAGGCAAGAAAGCACAGCCTGAGACCATAAAGCCTTCCGCTTGTTGGAGGCGGCCTCAGTCGAGGCTTGGTTGACTCAGAGCTTCTCACGGGACTCGTGGTTGGGGTGAACCAGGAGCAACAAGGGCCAGCGGAGAGGCACCTGAGCCATACAGAGTCTCCCCAGGAAGATGAGCTCTAAGCACAGCTAATCTGCCTTCAAGACTTTCACGAGAGTGAGTCTCAGTGGGGCCCCTTCCATGCACCAGTCACACGGTCCACACAGAGCATCCAGAGTCTATGGGAAGCATCTCTACAAGAGGAAGATTCAACAAATGTTGGTGTGTTGTTCGGTAGCAGCAGGTCGTGCTGAAGGGAAGCCTGGGACCGCACCGAATGTGAGAAAGCCTTTCTTGGGAGGCCAGGCCTCAGTCAGCACATGAGGGTTTACCTCAGGCGAACCCATGGGAGAACTTCCAAGTGCGGGAGGGCCTTTTGCTGCAGATCAGACCTCACGCAGCACCCGCAGATTCACACTGGGAGAAGCCTTATGAGTGCCCGGAACGGAGGAGAGTCGAGGATGGCTCTGCTTTTGTCCGGAGTAGTCTTCCCCACTCTAGAACACGTCTCTTCAAATACAAAGTAAGTGGGTAAGCGTCTTGTGACCGCTGTCCTCTCACTAATCGCGTAAGGGTCTTCCCGGGAGAGAAGCCCTGAGTGCAGTGATGAGGAAAGGCCTCCAGTCGCTGCTTTTATTTCTGGCATGATAGAGTCCACACTGCAGGAAAACCCTTGAAGTGTGAGGAAGATCAAAGAGCCTTCTGTGACCACTCTTCTCTGAGTCAACACAAGGAGTCACAGTGGGGAAAACCTTGTGAACACAGTGAATGTGGACACACTGTCAGCCTTCATTCATCCCTCCCGCTGAGTATTTGTCCTGAGGAGAGACCCTGTGAGCGTCAGACATGTGGGAAAGCCTTTTTTTGCAAGTGGACTTCCCTCAGTCACCACCAGAGAACTCCTGCTGAGGAGAAGCCTTTTGAATATAAGGCCTGAGGAAACTCTTTGCCAGGGGAAACGTCCCTGCCCGGCATCTGAGAAATTATACCAAAGAGAAACCCCGTAAGTGTCATCGCGAGAAGGTCTCTGAGGCAGTTCATCACTTTCTGTCCTACTGGGGGCCGATCCCGCTAGGACCGCTCTCTGCGAGTGAGAACTTACGAAGGAGAGGAGACCGGCGGTTCCTGTGTAATTGCTCAGCCTTCAGCCCTGGCTCGACCTTAGTGTGCCCTGAAGAGCAATCCCGGGATATTTTTAAAAAGAGAGCAAAGGCATAAGGGAGGAGGAAGAAGAGAAGTAGATGTGACAGAAAAAGGAACACGTATGGTTTCTTTCAGGTTTCCCTGCCAAACCCGTGACAGTCTGTCATCAGTTGTGTTTGTCTGAGGGGCAGGTGGGAGCAGTGTGTGAGAGGTGAAGGGGCCTCACCCCTCCACCTGACATAATACACGCTCCCGGACATTCTGTGTCAGGAGAGCTGGACACTTGACACAGCTCTGCAAATATTACTGAAATCCTTTTTTGTTAGGAAAAAAAAAAACCTGCTTAATCATTAAGAGTCATAAGTCCTTGGGGCGCCTGGGTGGCTTAGTCAGTTAAGCGTCTGACTTTCGCTTAGGTCATGATCTCATGGTTCGTGGGTTCGAGCCCCGCGTCGGGCTCTGTGCTGACTGCCAGCTCAGAGCCTGGAGCCTGTTTCAGTCTGTGACTCCCTCTCTCTCTGACCCTCCCCTGCTCACTCTCTCTCTCTAGAAATAAATAAAAAAAAAAAAAAAAAAAGAAATAAGAGTCATAAGTCCTTGTGATACGTGTGAAGTCTTGATTTATGAAACATTTAAAACTTAAGTTAGAATACTAAAAATATTGTTGCCTAAAATTATCTCATATCTAAGGAGCAAAGGACAAATACATGAATGGGTACATTTTAGTGCACCATTTAAGACCATTTAAGATTATTTATTTTTTCGTTTATTCTGTCTTGAGATATAATTGACATCACATAATTGGCATATAACACCGTGTAAGTTTAAGGTGTACAACATTGATCTTGTTGAATTTATACTGCGACGTGATTGCCGTGTGGCATTAACTAACCCCTGTATCCTGGTGGTATCCTGTGTCCTGTGTTCCTAGTGGTGGGAACGGTTCAGATCTAGTCTCTTCCCAAGTTTAATGTTTGTAATACAGTTTTGTTCCTTGTAATCCCTGTTCTGTGCATTAAACCTCCAGGACTTGCTTCGTAGTTGCGAGCATGTTCCCTTGAACAACATCCCCGCCCTCCTCCTCCCCTGACAAGCCTTTGGTAACCATCATTCCACTCTCTTAGCTGAGTTCAGAGTTGTTTGTTTTTAAGATTCTACATATAAAAAACATAGTATTTGTCTTTTCTGTGTTTGACGTACCTCACTTAGCATAATGTCCCCAAGGTCCGTCTATATTGTCAGAAATGGCAGCATTTCCTTTTCTCTCATGGCTGAATAACGTTCCACTGTGTACATACACCACGTCTTCATCCTTTGATGGACACTTAAGCTGTCACTATATCTTGTCTCTTGTGTACAATATTGACAATAAACATGAGAGTACAGATATCTCTGAGATCCTGTTTTCATTTCCTTTGGATATGTCTGTACCCAAAAGTGGGATTGTTGGACCCTGTGGTGGTCCTGTTTTTAAATTTTTGAAGAACCTCTGTACTGTTTTCCAACGTGACCAGAGCCGTTTACAGTCCCATCAACAGTGCACAAATGTTCCCTTCTCTCCACATCTTTGCTGACACTTAATCTCATGTCTTCTTGATACTAGCCACGCTGACAGGCGCGAGGTGATACCACATTGTGGTTTTGGTTTGCATTTCCGTGATGCAGGTCACGGGCACCTTTTCCTGAACCTGTTGGCTGTATGGATGTCTTTGCAAAAATATCTGTGTAGTTCTTCTGCCCGTGGTTTAATCAGATTTTTTCTTTAATGTGTGTTTATTTTTGAGAGAAAGAGACAGAGCATGAGCAGGGGACATGCAGAGAGCGGGAGACAGAATTGGAAGCACCCTTCAGGCTCTGAGCTGTCAGCACAGAGCCTGATGTGGAACTTGAATCCACAAACTGTGAGATTATGACCTGAGCCAGAGTCAGATGCTTAACTGACTGAGCCACCCAGGTGCCCCAAGTTATATGAATTCTTTATAAAATTTTGGATATTAACCCCTTATCTGTTCATGGTTTACAAATACTCTCTCCCATCCCATAGGTTGTCTTTTTAGTTTTTTAGTTATTTCTTTTGCAGTGTGAAGCTTTTATTTATTTATTTATATTTTTATTTATTTCTAGGAGAGAGAGAGAGAGAGACAGCGTGAAGAGGGGAGGGTCAGAGAGAGAGGGAGACACAGACTCCGAAATAGGCTCCAGGCTCTGAGCTGGCAGTCAGCCAGAGCCCGACGCGGGGCCTGAACCCACTACCGCGAGATCATGACCTAAGTGAAAGTCGGACGCTTAACCGACTAAGCCACCCAGGTGCCCCTGCAATGTGAAGCTTTTAAATTTGATGTAGTCCCACTTCTTGATTATTTCTTTTGTTTGTGCCTGTGGTGTCATATCCAAAAAACCACTGTCTTGGAGCTTCCCTTTTCTTCTAGGAGTCTTACAGCATCATGTCTTATATTTAAGTCTTTCATCCACTTCAATTTAATTTTTGTGAGTGGTGTAAGGGTCCAATTTCATTTTTCTGCCTGGGGTTATCCAGTTTTCTGACACCATTTCTTGGAGAGACTCTTTTCCCTATTGGATGTTCTTGGCTCTCATGAAATATTAGTTTACAATATCTGTGGGGATTTCAATTCTGTCTCCTGTTCCATTGGGCTGTGTCTATTTTTTTTTTAATGTTTTATTCTGAGAGAGACAGTGTGAGCAGGGGAGGGTCAGAGAAAGAGGAAGACAGAATCTGAAGCAGTTACAGGCTCTGAGCTAGCTGAGAGCACAAAGTCTGACACGGGGCTTGAATCCACGAACAGGGAGATTGTGCCCTGAGCCGAAGTCAGACGCTTAACCAACTGAGCCACCCAGGCGCCCCGGGCTGTGTCTATTTTTAATGCCAGTTCCATACTCTTTTGGTTACTGTAGCTTTGTAGTATAGTTTGAAATCAGGAAATACGATGCTACCTATTCTTTCTCATGACTGCTTTGGTTATTAGGATCTTTTGTGGTTCCATACACATTTTAAGGTTGTTTCTTCTGTTCCTGTGAAAAAGTGCTATTGGAATTTTGATAGGGATTGTGTTGAATCTTTAGATAGCTTTGGATAGCATGGACATTTTAGCAGTATTCTTCCAGTCTCTGAACACACTGTGTCCTTCCATTTGGTCTTAGTTTTTCCAACAGAATCTTATAGTTTTCATTGAACAGATCTTTCACTTCCATGGTGAAACTTATTCCTAGGTGTTTTGTTGTTTTAAATGCCATTTTGAATGAGACAGTTTTCTTTATTTTTTCCCAGATGTTTCATTGTTAATGTACAGAAATGCAACTAATTTGTGTGTGTTGATTTCATATCCTGCAACTTTACATTGATTAGATCCAACAGGTGTTTAGCTGAGTCTCTGGAATTTTCAATTTATAAGAATATATCATCTGGGGGCACCTGGTGGCTCAGTTGGTTAGGTGTTTGGCTTGATCTCATCTCAGTTCTTGATCTCAGGGTTGTGAGTTCAAGCCTTATGTTGGGCTCCATGCTGGGTGTGGAGCCTACTTAAAAGTATGTATGTATATGTGTGTGTGTGTGTGTGTTGTGTGTGTGTGTGTATGTATGTATATACACATATATATAATTTGCAAGTAACGACAGTTTTACTACTTTCTTTTCAATTGGGTACCTTTTAATTTCTTTGTCTTGCCTAATTGCTCTAACTAGGACATTCAGTACTATGCTGGGTAACATAGTGATAGAAGTATTCAATTAGGAAAAAAAAAAAAAAAAGCCTTTTCTTCATGCATTTTAGACATCCAGTCTGCTCACTTTTCCTTGATCCTGATCTGTTTTACTTTATTTTCTCTGAGGCGTGATGGGGATCGTGTAGCTGTGCGGTCTTCCCAGGTGAGTCTTAATCGTTTCCTCTGACTGGGTTTTTCACTTTTTTAAATCTCTTGAGGACCTTTTCCAAGTCGACCTCAGTAAGTTTCTAAGGGTTGAATTAGGGCTAAAACAAACCGCAAAACACACATTCAAGTTAAATTCATGACAAACTGAGAAAACAAACATGGATAAGGTATCTCGTTGTTTAATCTTAGGATAATGTGTCCAGTGTTGTTATAAAGAGAAGTAGTTGGAGTTTACCAGACGGATGAAGATGGATACAGGCACGCGTAGTTTCGCATTCCACCCCCAACCCCACCCCACCCTAGACTGACTTCCCCTGTGCTCTCATCAGGCGGGGCACTTTGGAGGATCTCCTTCCTTCGGGATTGTCCTTGAGGACAAATGTCGAACTATAGGAGACGATCATTGCTACCTCATAAAAAATTGTGCAGTTTTTAATATTAATATAAATATAATCAAAAGTAAGTAAATAAATATAATCATATTCTCCCTTTGAGCCCTCCTCAAAACCTCTTCAATGACCACAGGCCTAAGTTTGCATCACCACTGTGGGCTGAAACCATTCTGCTGTGCTTTACCACCTTTTCATCAATCGTGCACTTCCCAGTGAGTCAGTAGTCACAAAACTTACAGGTTTTTTTAATGTTTATTTTTGAGGGGGTTAGAAGGGAAGGGGGGGGGCAGCATTCAAAGCAAGGTCTTTGCTGACAGTAGTCAGCCTGATGCAGCGCCCGAACTCATGGACTGTGAGATCATGACCCAAGCCGAAGTTGGATCCCCAACTGACCGAGCCACTAAGGTGCCCCAATAGTTATAATTTTTTTAATGTTTATTTTTCAAAAAGAGAGTGCGAGTGGGGAGGGGCAGAGAGAGAGGGAGGCACAGAATCCAAAGCAGGCTCCAGGCTCTGAGCTGTCAGCACAGAGCCCAACGTGGGGCTTGAACCCACAAACCGTGAGATCATGACCTGAGCCGAAATCAGACGCGTAACCGACTGAGCCATCCCAGCACTCCAGGTATAATTTTTTTCAATGACAGCGTGTATAGTTTTCTATGACATGGGAAGCAGAGGTGCCTCTCAAGGGCCCCTTCCTCCTCTGTCCTCTTAGGGGAGCTTGTCTGTGCAGCGGCTGTCGCTTTGTCAATAGCTGAGCCCCTGGGTCTGCAAGGGTCGAAGAAATGCTCTACAGAGAATTTCTCTCCCCACCCGGGAGCTCTGGTATCACGCAGCACATTCAGGGACCTGGGCCCACGATTGTCCAAAAGCCGTTGGGACGCGCCGTCCCAGTGATGAAGGACCGAGACTTGTCCCCTTATCTGCCATTTCTCCCCATCCGGCCTTCGCTTACGTGCTCTGTCAGAGCGCCCCCCTGCGACCTTGCTGCCGTGTGGGCCAGAATGCGCAGACCTCATGCTTCAGTCGCAGCACATCCTGTGGAGTTAGGACGCGTGGGTCGCTGAGACGTGGGCCCTGTCC